GAACCCATCCCTATCTGCCAACTGCAGAGTGCAGAGGATATCATGGATCACTATTCCTGAGGATTAAGACCCATGAACAGGCCAAATCAATCACGCACTCTATTTAATTCCTCACATGCTCATGCCTCTCCTTCAGATAGCATCACTAATTCCCTTCACCTTCTTCAACACTGAATTCCTCACAATCACAATCATAATGGACGACAAATTTGAGCAACATCAACAAAACAAAGGTCATTTTTTTGTGGAACATTGCCAAGGAAACGCCACGTGTTCAACTAAATAATATTTCACACATTCTACTTTATATTTAACATTATTTATTGATTATTTTAAAATTATGAGTAGATTTTTTTTTAGAGTTAAAAAATAATCTATCAATTAATTAATTATTATTAGTTAATCTATTTTTTATATATAACTTTTATATATAATTTAATTATGTAATTCTTTTTACTTTTATGTCATATAGGTTAAAAATATTTTTCTTGGTGTGGCTCCAAAATTTGGGCCTTCGACTCGTGATTAGGACAGCTACCGATAGGTACACCAAAATATATGTATCGGTTGGTGAATTTATATATATATTTTTCACCAAATCTATATATTAATCTTATACTCTAAGACAAACCAAATCCATCCTATTTTATTTTCTCTTCAAAAGAGTTACATGTATTAACAACCTTCCAACCAGAAGGGAATACTAGCTTTATGAATAAACGAATCTGCCAACTCTTCTCGAGTCCCATAACTTGTGAATTTTTTTTTCTTGCAACTAACCCACATAACCATAAACATTTGACTCCAAACCATATATAACCATATCACCAGAAGAGTTATGTTTACTCTTTCTAAATTACTTATTGTATTATATATAAGTTATAAATTAAAATTCATTTCAACTCTTAAAATAAATTAATTTCTTGTTATTTGCTAAAAATATATTTAATGTAAACAAAAATAATTAATAGGTCTTTTTTAAAATAAATAAATAAACAACCGTCATATGTGCTAAATTGAAGCTTAATAGACGGCAGATATTAATTTTACCTTTTTAAAGAAATTTAAAATTTATATAATTTTTTTTATCATTTACATATTATATATCTTAGTTTATACTTTTTATTTTAACCTGGCTATAAAAATGTTTGTTTAATAAATTGAATATTAATACTTAATTTGCATGTGAGATGGGGAAAAGTATCGAGTTTGAAGGCCAAAAGAAATTTATATAACACTTTGTCCCATCTAAAACAACAAAGGGTCCATAGCTCAGTGGTAGAGCATTTGACTGCAGATCAAGAGGTCACCGGTTCGAACCCGGTTGGGCCCTAATCCTTTAGTTACATTTTATTTTCTTTTTCTTTCCTTGTATTTTTGCAAAAGGCAATTCTTCTTACATGGGCCACAACTCGAGCCCAACTAAAGATGATACTATACGCCCAAAACTTCGTTATCATGGGCTTCACACGAACCCTTGCTGTTAATATCTTTACTCGTACGATTTCATCACAATTTTAAATTTTATGGTTATTTTTTGCAATACTATATCACTTTTAATCATCAAAGTGTATTTATTATGGTTTAGAAGAACATTTCATAATGCCCAGTTTTCTTATATATCCATGCAATGGTTCTTATTATGAGTTAGAAAAACATTCCATCTACCCGAAGAGATTCACCATCTTGTCTGGGTAATAGATCATGAATGTGTAAAATGAGAAACAAATGTGTATTTATATTTTAAATTATTGGTAGCCTTACTTTCTCATTTTACACATTTCCTTAATAGTTTGTTTGGATGAAAAATTTTACAAATTCAAGGAATTTGAAATTCTTGGTATTTAAATTACTTTGATTTCAATTTTTAGTATTCTTATAATATTTTGTTTGAATAAGTCAATTTAAAAAATTTTAAATTTTAAGTTATTAGGTTGGATATGATAATTTGATTCCACAATGATAAAATTTATTTTAAAAATATATTTATATGTTGATATTTTTAAATTAAATTTTATAAAAATAAATATTAGTTAATTTTTAAATATTTAATAATTTTAAAAATTAATATTAGATAATATTTAATAATTTTAAAATATTTTGAATATTCAATAATTGAAAACATGAAGAGATAAGAGATGAGATAAAATATATAAGTGAAATAAGAAGAGAAAAAAAATGAGAAATTTCAAATTCTTACTTTTTTGAAAGAATTTTAAATTCTACTATTTCAATAAATTTTAAATTGCTTGAATTTTAAATTCTTTATAAATTTTTCATCTAAACAAGGTATTTCACCTCAAAAAATTTGAAATTCTTCAAATAAATAAATTACCCCATTTAAATTTTTCATCCAACCACACTATAAGCAAAATTCATTCTTCATGTATTTTATTTCAATAGAGGTACGTACATATTAGCTTAACCCATTCCATGTATGCCCAATGGGCCAAAACACATAGACCTTCAACTAAATGAGTATGTTATGCTTGAGTCATTATTAGGTCCTAAGTTCATGAATTGGTTTGTTGCTCAATCCGCATGCACTTTTAAATATATATATATAAATTGATGCTTTTTCATAAATGGGGAAAAACAAAAAACTGAAAAAGTTAGATGCAAATTAAGCATTGAAAAAATCACTTGAACAATTAAGAAAAACAATTAATTATATAACCTACTCCATGAATAATCCCATCAACATCAGACCAAATAATTTCTTATATCAACTAAATACCAGCTCTATGAGAGTTGTAACTTATAAAAATGGAAGCCTTTGTGCGAGTTGTGCAATGCTAATGACAATCAACCCACCCAGCTATATAGCCAACCTTTTTATGCGAGTTGTAAAAGGAAATCATGTGCAAATTGTTAGTTTCATACAACAAAATAAAGATGACGACACATGTAAATAATAAGGTTATTTTTATAAACTTTTATTATTATTATTATTTAGTTTTCTTTTTGTTTTGTACAAATATGAAGACAATTATGAATTAGTAAAAGTATATTTTTGTGTCGTTCTTTAATTAAAATTAAACTTTTACTTAAAAAATTTGTATTCACATTTAATTTAAATATTTATTACATGTTATATCAAGATGAAATTTTTATTTTAAATTAATAATAATAATAATAATAATAATAATAATAAAATCACCTATAAAATTACATCTAAATTTTATTCTTGTCCTTGAGTTTTATTATTATTTTTTAATTTAATACATTTTGAAATGTCATCGATAAGTTAAGTTATGTACGTAGAACAACTTGTGTAACTCCAACTTTAAAGAATTCATTATTTTTTTTAAGAATAAACTTGTCAAGTTCTCATATTTTGCATACTAACTCGTGTGATTAAAGATAGTGAGTATACCCAACTGTACTCACAATTCATTTGCTTTCTTAATATGTGCTTGTTGTATGTAAGTTTGTCCAAACAAAGATCAAAAAAGAAAACTTTTTATTAATAAAATGAGTGTTAGAATTTATTTTAATTCAATTTAAAAATTATGAAACAAATTCATCTTAATTTGTGTGTTAAAATGGTTTTGCAAAAAACTTGATCTACTATAAAAAAAACTATAGGCAAAATGTATAAAGATGAACAAAAAACGCTATCATCTGTGAATATTAAAAATGAACATTCAAAATTAAGTATTTTGTCAAAAAAAAAAAATATTAAGCAGATTCGTCAATTATTTGAAAATTTTTTTAAGTAGGTCCTTGATCATGTAGTTTTCTTTTTAATTGAGTCACTAATTTTTTTAAAACCACCACAAATTATTATTATTATTATTATTATTTGGCAGTTTCAAATTACCAAAAATTGAATTCAAGAACCTACTTTGTTTTAGATTTAGAACCAACTAAAAACATTAGTTTTGAAACATATTTTAAAAATTGAAATAATTCAAAACGAACTTAATGATTTTAAATTATTTGTCAAAAGGAAGTCAAGTATTTAAAGGTAGTTAATCCCACACTCACACCAGTGTCAATCGGACTGTTAAAGGAAATCCTAGTAGGTAAGGATAAACAACTTTTTTTTTCTTTCTAAACAGACATTTTATTACTAGCTATATTAATCATTCAACCCTTTAATATTTTTATTAGATAACTTTAGTTAAATAAAAAACATTTATCATATAAACTTTATATTGATATAAAATGGTTTACTATTCCATTAAAATATATTAAATTTGATATATATTATAGGAATCTTTAATTATGTAGCTATTCAATTTCAACAAAAATGATATAACATAAAAATAATACATAATTATAATTAAACAAAATTCATCAAATTCTTTGTAGCTCTCCTAGTCCTACTCACAAAATCCATGTTTGTTCACGTTACAAAACGACAATAAGGAAGCATATGGCTAAACCGCCGCGCTTTCTCTCCACTGCAAAAATAAATAAATACTAAAAATTTATCATCAAATTTTAAGATGAATAAAAAAACAAACCCAAACGTATGATTCGGCAAAAAGAATTTATCCATGCTTAAATAAGATTAGGATTCGAATCTTATCTTGTATATAGAGTTATGTTAAATCTTGGGATCAGTTATCTCATCCTTTGAAGTATCTCTAACCTAACGAGAAAATTAGTCACGTCTTTAACGAGGAGATTAGTCACACCTATCACCCTAGATATTTCATGAGCGAACCCAACAAAAGATGAATAAAAACAAAAGTCTCCCTACAGCCTACACTCACATTCAGATTCAGGGTGAGGAACGGTTAAAGAAAGAAATTTAGAATTAAAATATAAATATATAATTAGTAAATAATAATCATTAATAAAAGAAATACATATTTAAATAATTATTTTCGTCTTATTTTTTCTTTTTAAATTTTTTTTATTCAATGGATTATGCAATATATTTTTATAGATAAAGATAAATAAAAAATATAAAAAAAATATAATCCTGTGAGAGTTACGAAAGGCAAATTAAATAATAGTTAGTGAAAAATAGCATCCAATAAACCCCGTTCCCATTTGACGGTGTCGGTGATTCCCCAAAATCAATAATACTGGTTCCTTCAATTTCCCCTTCTCCTATTTTCTCAATTCGGATCTTTAGAAGAAAAAAACCTAATAAAATCCGATGGCGGCGTCGCGGCGGCTCCGGGACCTCCAATCCCAAGCGGCGAACAAGATCTGCGTCGATTGTTCCCAAAAAAACCCGCAATGGGCGTCGGTATCCTACGGCGTGTTCATGTGCTTAGAGTGCTCCGGCAAGCACCGGGGCCTCGGCGTCCACATCTCCTTCGTGCGATCCGTCACCATGGACTCCTGGTCCGAAATCCAGATCAAGAAGATGGAAGCAGGAGGCAACGACAAACTCAACGCGTTCCTCACACAATATGGCATCCCCAAGGAGACCGACATCGTCGCCAAGTACAACTCCAACGCCGCCGCCGTCTACCGCGACCGGATTCAGGCCATCGCCGACGGCCGCCCCTGGCGGGATCCCCCCGTCGTCAAGGAGGCCGTCCGCTCCGCCTCCAAGGGCAAGCCGCCGCTCTCCAACAACAACGGCGGATGGGATAATTGGGACAACGACGACGGATTTGGATCCGCCAGGAACTCCGATTTGCGCCGGAATCAATCCACCGGCGATGTCCGGGGGTTCGGCGGCGGCAGCCATGTCGCGAGGTCGAAGTCGACCGAGGATATTTACACGCGGTCGCAGCTGGAGGCCTCTGCTGCGAACAAGGAAGGGTTCTTCGCGAGGAAGATGGCGGAGAATGAGTCGCGGCCGGAGGGGCTTCCGCCGTCGCAGGGTGGCAAGTACGTTGGATTCGGATCCAGCCCTGCCCCGACCCAGAGGAATATGAATCAGCAAAACGATTATTTCTCTGTCGTTTCTCAGGTCCCAAATGGAACCTCTTTTTTGTTTTTCATGTATTTATATATACCATCGAGACATATTCTACTAATGTGATATTTTTATTTCTCTCTCTCTCTGCGTTCAGGGGATTGGTAAATTATCGTTGGCGGCTGCTTCTGCGGCTCAATCTGCTGCTAATGTTGTTCAGGCTGGGACTAAAGAGATCACTGCTAAGGTTTTTTTTTTTTTTTTTGGATTATCTGTTTAGTTTATTATTCTGTGGTTTTACTTTCTTTGAGAATTAATGTGTTTTGTTTAGATTCTCTATGTTTTAGATGGAATTCGTGTTTAACCGTGCATCTTTTGGATGCGTGGCTTCTCCTATAGTTCTTTCTCTATTAGCTAACCGAAAAACAATATAATAAAGGTTTAGTACATGAGATGAAACGGTGTTCAATGTTTTTTCATGCACCACATGTATGCATGATTGATTGGGTGGTGTTGTTGGGATTGACAGTACGTACTATCTTTGCCGTATGAGGTGTGAGTGGCAAATGACGATAGATTATTTATATATAACTTTGTGTATCCCTTGAGAACAATAGGGTACGAAGGTTAGACTGATTTGTGAGTTGCTGAAATTTAAATGAGAGCATACGATAATTTACGAACACTTTCTAGAAATTTTTTTGCAATTCGTTTTACAAGTTAATAGTAATTGGTAGTATTCCCCATAAATATGTTTGGTGTTTGTTTCTACTTTCTGTCAAAATGAATGTGTGTTTTGTTTAGCTTCTGTATGGTATGGATGGAATTTGTGTTTAGGGTATTCCAGCGCCAACTTGGATAAGTATTTTCTCCTATAGTTTATCTTTCAAAAAGGGCACTCGTTTCCCTGTTAGCAAACTGAAAGCAATATAATAGAGAAATATGCGAGATGAAACGATGTTGAATTTTTTCTCAATGCACCACTCATGCACCTGTTCAATTGGATTTTTTTGTTGGAAATTGAAATTGAAAATACTATCTTGGCATATGAGATGTGTTAATGACAATAAATTATTGATATATTACGTAATACTACACTATAACTTGTTTCTTATAAAAAAGATCAGAAGTATTAGTAATTTTTATGCATCTTTTGAATTCTTTAAACTTGATTCTGAGGATTGAGAACAATAGGGAACGAAGGGTATACTGATTTCTGACTTACTGAGATTTAAATCAGAGCATAAGACAATTTCCAAAGAATCCAAACTCATTCTCATAAGTTTTTCCCAAGTTATTTTACAATATAATAATTGCTAATTAAATCCTATAATATGGATCTATCTCTCTGAGTCTTCTAAGTCGGTTGACCTTGCCTTGTTCAAGTTGTTTTTGATATTCCCCACTCGGCCGAGTGTAGGCCAAAGCAAATGCTTAGATGAGAAGAAGTAAGGGCAGAAGTATGAACAGAGGAATAGAGAGGTATCTTCAACTCCTCTAGAGGTTGAAGAGGAGGAAGTGATGCGTGCTTCCTATTATTGCTTTCTTGTTCATGGTCATGGTTCTGAAAGTGGAAGACTTTATTTATTCCCCCTCATTTATTCTTGTATTTACATTGAATTGATTCTAGGTAAAAAAAATATTGGACTCAGCCTATACTAACTTGACAGGGTATTATTGTTGTTGTGACCCTTCATGCTTTATGCAACACTTGCTCAAGTAGAAGCTAGCTGTGGCCCTGTTTCAAACTGCTGAAAATTAGATGGTTTAACATTTCATATGCAAATCATTCTATACTTGCTTAATACTGCAATAATAATAATGGGTGATTAAAAATGAGATGCACCTTAGACTTTACTTTTACCCTTTAACCAACCAATTGTTGTTTTTAATTATAACTATTAAATGATGAAAAAATTTTCATTACAAATTCACTACATATTCTCATCCGTATGAAGTTTGATTTTCTCTTTCACCTGCATCATGGATGCCTTATGAATGAAATTGATTGTTAACTGGTTCTAACTTGGAAAAAGTTTGTAATTCTTGCTATTATTGCAAGTGATTCTAACAAGGGTAGTACTATATTAGTGCTTTGCTTGAGGTGATCTGGTGGTGATGGAGATTGTGGATGAAGGTTGGTAGTTATAACTGAAATTGCTCAGGCTGTTATAATTTTGTATTTAGGATGAGTAGAGGGTGTGCTTTTTGAAGTATATGTGGAATAATCCCTTTTTGATTGGGTGTCAGATTTTCTAAATGGTAACTTGATGAACATTGTTGGAGATGGTAGGTAAACAACTCTTTGGCTTTGCAATGTAATATAGTTTGCTCAATTTTTTTTTTTCGGGGCTTTCATAAGACTGGCATTCATTATTATATGCGGTTTGAGTCATGAAGGTTTGGAGCTTTTAGGCATAAATCTCATTCTATGGTTCAATCCCTTTCAAACTTCACCAAGCAATTATTCCTGAATTAACTATTTCTTGCTTCAGGTAAAAGATGGTGGTTATGATTACAAGGTCAATGAAACTGTCAATGTTGTCTCTCAGAAGACATCAGAGATTGGACAAAGGACATGGGGTATAATGAGAGGGGTCATGGCAATGGCTACACAAAAGGTTGAGGAATACACTAGAGATAACCCAAATTGGCCATCTGATAACCGGCAACAAAATGAAAATGATAAAAACGGTTTCTATCATGAGTTCAATCAAGAGAATAAAGGCTGGAATTCTTCCACCAGAGAAGGGCAGTATTCTTCAGGTGGACAAACTAATACTTATCAATCAAGTTCTTGGGATGATTGGGACCATAAAGGTTCTAGGAAGGAAGAACCAACTAAAGGATCAGCTCCCCAATCATCAGGTGGGAAGTTTGATACTTATAACTCAAGCTCTTGGGATGATTGGGGCAATGAAGATTCGAGGAAGAAAGAACCAGCGAAAGGGTCAGCTGCCCATAGCAGTGATGGTTGGGCTGGATGGGATAATGCCAAAGATGATGGATTTGATGATATGTATGGGAGTGCATCTAATAATAAAGCTGTTGGTCATAATGATAAGTCGGGTGCTGCCTGGACAGGAGGAGGCTTTCTCTAAGGTTTGTATCATGCTATACTCTTATTTTGTTTGAATGGCTTGCACATGGAAATATTTTTAGTTTTAGCACAGTACTGTCGTTTACTTGAACAAATTCTTGACACAACCCAGAATCTTCTTTCTATGTGCCATTAGAAACCATATTGACTCACTTAATTTTAAATGGCTCAGAATCTTCTTTCTTTGCCGGTAGTAACATTTTCTCACATGCCAGTCCAATGCATCAATGATTTCATTTTTTAATTTTAACCAGCATGACTTCTGAAACTGTTGAATTTCCAAATGTGCTACTTATATGTGGTGTATGTTGCTGAAAGGGGATGATTTGCAATATTAAAGTAGTCAGCATCTTTAGTTTTCATTTAATTATTTTTTGTTTTATTATGTGTGATTATTGTGATGTTTTTCTTTATTATAGTCTTATTTCAAATACACACTTTCGAACTAGAATGTAACTGGTTATATGTCTTGAACCAGGTTTACCTAATCTCTATCATCAGGATCGAAGTTTTGTTGCACGTGACAACAATACAATACAATACCTACCGCATGGTGGCATTAGTCTATTCACCATTGTCTGCAAGTCTTTATTTTTCATCGTTCTCCCCTCCTCCCTTGTGTAATTCTTTTTATGTATTTTTTTTCTTTTTTGAGGACATCTGTATGGTTGGAAAATTAGTTTTGAATGTAAAAGTGTCCAAAGAAGGGGTCAATTGCCCAAATTTAAGATTTACTTCTACCTGGAAGTGTGACGAAACATTATTGTGACATGAAAATTTCATAATTGTTTTGAATTTTTGGCAACTTAATTTGCCTTGCCTTGTGTTATTGTTTCGTAAATTTAAATTGAACACGTGGTTCTTGTTTTATCCCCTTAATTGGTCATTACCGATTGCGCCATATGCGTAAAGCATAGATAGCGAAATACTTCCACCGCACTATGACTTATAATATAAAAAAGTTCAAGGGGGAGCAAGAAATAGATTGATTTGCAGGTTACATCGAACAACCGAAAATGATAAATAGATTGGTCTCAGATGGTACTGTTAATCACAGTATTCTTGGCCGTTGCTGTCTTAACGAGAGTACTTTCGTTTGGATTTATCAAATGCCGGTCCTGTATAACGAGCAATGAACTGGTAATGCCGCTCGAAGAGGCAAAGAGATCTCCAATGAGTCCCAGCTCGGTATGCTCGGGGCGAAAATCTGGGTTTGTCATCATGGTTGACTCAAGCTGTTGTTGCTTCCCCACAATTACTAGGTCGTAATCTTTACCTTCCCCAATTGATAACACCTCATCTGTTATGTTGGTTGTGTTCTTTTCAATGTACTCCACTGATTCCTGCCATTTAGCCTTGAACTCGTTCACTGCTTCCTCATCCAACTCCTGGGCAAAATTAAGACCACATCCTTACTGCCAAGCTCTAATAAAAAAAATGTTTGACACTTTTCTTCCTAATTTTAAATATAATCCATTAAATGTGTTATAAAAGTAAAATAAGAAACACTATTATTTGATTGGAAATTTTGATGAGGGTCATAAGAAACTTTAAGTTTTGTCTAATGTTGAAGGGAAAATTACCTTCTCTTTTTCCCAGTTGTTAGTGGATATTGGTGAGTTGTGGTTGCGTCTCTCGTCCTCCGTTTCTTTGCATGAAGTGAATCTTACAAAAAGTAGCCCAATTGCTGGATGCTCAGCCATTCTGCTACCTAACTCCAAAACCTTGCGATCATCTGGTCCACCAATGAAAATTATGCACACCCTTTTCCTTGCAGCAACACTGGTCTGTGGTCCTTGTTCGTACCTTCTGCCACCCCCACGCTTAACTAGAACTGCAACAGAGCTGGGTGCATTTTGAAGCACCCTCTGATTGACTTCCCTCCAACCCTGACCTAAGTCTTCTGTCACTTCTTCACCTTCCCCTCCCCACCTTTTGTTGAACGGCAATATGATCATTGCCACACCTTTCTTTTTTGCAACATGGCATATGTCCTCGTGCATGGTTGACAACAAAGATATGGATGTCAAATGATGCACAGTAACCTGACCCACTTCACCATATGCCTGGAATGCTATGGCGATTTGCTCATGCATCGCTCCCCTTTTGAGTCGGTTGATGAAGGGAAAACCATTCTTTCTGCTGCGTTGAACCATCAAGATGGAGGACGAGCTATCAGTGAGTTCAGTAAGTTGCATCACGTATAGTTTCAGCCGAGACATGTTGGTGGCACGAATAGATTCAATGAAGTTTATTAAAGAGGGTATGTCGCTAGTTCCATGGATGCAAGCAAGAATGCGAAGCTTCTCTTGCAAATCTGTTAGCCGCGACGGATTTTGCGAACCGTTGTTTACAGTAGAAGGTTTATATATAGCCAAGACGAGTGGAGTTGTAATGAAGGTGGTGAAGAGAGCCATGAGCACCAGAATGGTGAACATCTCGTCGTTAAGAACCTGTTTAGCCATGTAGTGCAATTAAACTTAATCCATCATAAACAAAGGAGAAACACAAGGACAAGCAATAGTCACCTTTTTCTCCCTGCCAATATTGAGAACGATTAGCTCTACCAAGCCTTTGGTGTTCATCAACACTCCAAGCGTCAAGGATTCCCTGAGCGGCACCGTACACATTACCGCCACCGCGAACGTTCCGAAAATCTTGCCGGCGCACGCTGTGGATGTAACCAGCAAAAGAAGCCCCCAATCCAGCATGCTACGTAACTTGGTCACATCAGTTTTCAAGCCACTGGAAGCAAAGTACAAGGGAAGCATCAACGTGGACACAAAGTCCTCAATTCTCCTCGTTAACTTGCTCGCAAATTCACTCCCTTTTGGTATCGTTAGCCCGAAAACAAATCCTCCAAAAATTGAATGCAAGCCTATCATATCCGTCACGAACCCCGATAGCATTACCCCCGCAAGGGTTAAACATACAAAAGTTTCGGGTAACACTTCGTGTTCGCCGCAACACTTGCGAGCAACCCGGTTCATCACCGGCCGAACCAGGATCATCATGGCGCCAACAAATGCCACTCCTGCAAGCATTCATACAATAATTACTAACACTGTTGCTCCGCTTCTCCATCAGACTTATACTTTCACTTTTACGTACATGTCTATTAACAAAAATATTATCGTCATATAATTCTATTTCGAGACTAATAACAACACTTATAAATCTTGTAAGTTTTTTGTTTTTGTTTTTCTAAACAAAAAAACATTTAGAAAAACTAAATCTTGTAGTACTTTTACATTAATTTTCAAAACTAAGAAACAAGTACTTGTAAATTTCCTTTTAGTTTTTTAATTTTTTTACTGTATTTAACATTAATTTCTTTTACGGTCATTTCTTAAACCCTAAACATAATCATTGTCATCATTATTAACAATATTATTACAATTATTATCACTTTTAATATTATTACTGTTAATAATATTTTTGTCACTATTATTACTATTGACTTTGGCTTTTCTATTATTGATATTCAAACTATCACTACTATTGAAATTGACATTGTTATGATCTCTACAATATTTGATATATCCATCAAAGAGATTATTATTACTATTAAAATAATTAGCATGAGAATTATTATTATTAAAATGATTAGCATGACGATTATGATCGCCAACGTCACCATCAATAATATCGCTACTCGGTCATTAACATCCCCCTCAAAACCACTAATTGTAAGAAATATTTGACACCACCTACATTCACATAAACAAGTAATATCACAGCACTAGCACCGATATTACTGTGATGGTACTAATTAATACACATTTAAACTAATGTTAAGATGATAAGAAATGTTGAAAATATGTTTAAAAAGTAGAAAGAAAAGTAAATGTGAGTTTAGTCCATGGTGGTAATTCGACTTGAGTACCTGAGAAGAGCACCCATATTGATGTCAAGAGGGTGATTTTGTGTTCTTGACCAGCCAAAGCGACAGCCAAGGCCAACAAAACCCAGGCAGCGACGTCGTTGAAGGCTGCAGCTGCCATGGCCGTTTCTCCAACACGTGTGGTGAGCATCTTGAGCTCCGCTAGGATGCGCGCGAGCACAGGGAAAGCTGTGATGGAGAGAGAAACCCCCAAGAAGACGAAGTGCTGAATGTAGCCAATGTTAGGGTTTTCAGAGCGGATGGTTCTCTGGAGAAGGAAGGTGACTCCGACGGCGAAGATGAAGGGGAGGGTTATTCCGGCGACCGCGATGTTAAAAGCTCGCTTGCCGCTACGGCGAATGGTGCGGAGGTCGAGCTCAAGACCGACGAGAAAAAGGTAGAATAAGAGGCCAAAGCTTGCGACAGATTCGAGCATGGTAGTGCTCCACCATGGGAACACCGTCTGCATGAATTTCTTGTTGCGCCCAATACCTGAAGGTCCCAGCAAAATCCCACCCTGCACCCATCACATGTATATATATATATATATGTTCAGGGATAATAACTTCAAACATTATTTTTTATTTTACTTTTCAAACTAACTAGTACTTTTATTTATTTATTTATTTTACATGAACTAGTATTTTAACTTAAAAATTCGTTTTTCTAATGTTCATTTAGAATTAAATTCGCGTTCATAATATTTATGCAGTTTATAATACGTGTTAAATAAAAAAAAATACTTAAACATTGAAGAGATTAAAGTAATATGGGAGATTTTATTATGTTTAGTATTTCACGTTACTCATTAGTGTGTCTGTCACATTTAACAACACGTAATTTCATGTTTAAACTTTAATATTGTCATCATAATTTTTATGGATAAAAAAAAAAAAAAATGACTAATAAGTATATCAACAAGAATAATATTTATCTAACAAGTCAATTTCTTAATACCAAGTTAGATTTAAACTCATTCATAAGATAATATTAAATTTTTTCATAGCAATTCAAGCCACTCGATACGAAAACAATTATCAAATCACT